CTCCATCTCATTCACAAATTAAAACAACATTTTATGGGGTCCAGTTTACTCAAAATTGTTGTAATTATTGCTTCATTGATTGCAAACTGGGAACCACCCACTTTTCCTAAGTACAGACAGCTGGACCATCTGTTCACTATGAATCATGTAAACAGAGAAGACTTGAGAGAAGGATTTAAACACTTTCCAACCTGGTTCTGCCTTATTTCAAAAATGCAATCAACTGTCCAGAGACTTAACAGATGCAATGCTTAAGATTTGACCTGCCAATTTGATCCTCTTGTGTAACATAGAAAGTTCTGGTTAGAAAATGAGGTCAAAGCCTCCAACCTAGTCATATTTCTTTGCCCTTTTCATTTAATTAAGGGTTTTTTATTATATAGGAAAATACATGAACGTGAATTAAAAACTCAAGCAGCAAAAAACAAACAACAAAAAACTCAAGCAGCATTGAATAGTATGAATGAAAAATAAAATGTTCCCTCTCTGTCCCTTGCTCCCAGGCAAATCCCTTCAGACCTTTTCTGCATTTGGTACTTTTGATGTTAATTCCATGACTCTAGTTCTTGATTTACCAACTTTAATCTGTATCTATTGAGGCTACCCACTAAGAAACATGATGCGTTTGGCTCCCTCATCTTCTCTCTTGATGCAGCCAAGAGCCTAACTCATTAATCCTACCTCTCCTTTTCCCTCCCTTGAACTTTTTGTTATAGTCTTTAGTTGTAGCTTTTATATAAGTGAATTTTAAAGTATAAATAATACACGAAAGCCTTATTTTTTCCCAAAATGTCATGTAATTTCTGAAGTTTGACATATTACTTCCGTAGGAGTCTGTGCCTTACGGCCAATTTCAAGGTTGAATGGCACAAATGCAATTTTTCATAGGCCACCTGTGATTTAGCAGCAGAGACTGATACACATCACAACCACTTAAAGAATGGCATCTATCCAGTTGGTGTCAGTCATGCCACTACTATGTGTTAAAATAAAAGGCACAGTTAGGTGATTTATTTTGCTGCTTTATGTAAAACAAGAACATTTATTTATAGAAACTGGCCCATTGGCAAATTGGCAGACACACCTAAACAAGAAAAGTGTGATTTAAACATTAAATGGCAATAAAGATAATTAAAAACTATCATTTTCATTAAGTTAGAAAAAAGTGTGTCTTAGCCAAAGACTGCACTTGGGCAGATAGTCTATAAACAGGGAAAAACTATTATCATAGTTAAAGTGGGGTTATAAAAGCATTATTTTTCATTTTTATTGTGAAATATGTTATTCACACAAAATAGATTAGACACATCTACTGTTTAAAGATTAATAATAAAAAATAAAATAACTAATGAATGGGTCAACCACAAAATTAAAGAGAAAATTTTAAGAATATAGAGAAAAATGAAAATACACTGGTCAAAAATCTTTGGGATGCAGCAAAAGTTGTTCTAAGAGAGATTATAGCAATAAGGCCTACCTCAAGAAACAAGAAAATCTTCAAATAAACAACTTAACGTTACACATAACGGAGCTAGAAAAAGAACAAACAAAGCCCAAAGCCAGTGGAAGGAAGGAAATAAAGAAGATTACAGCAGAAATAAATGAAATAGAAATTTAAAAAACCCAGTGGAACAGATCAATGAAACCAGGTGCTGATTCTTGAAAAAGATAAATAAAAATAATAAACTTTTAGCCAGACTCATCAAAGAAAAAAATAGAGATAATTCAAATAAAATCAGAAATGAAGGAGGAGAAATAACCACTGACACCACTGAAATACAAAGGATTATGAGATATTATGAAAAATTATATGTGAAAAAATTGGACGACCTAAAAGAAATGGATAAATTCCTAGAAACTTTTCCTTCCAAAACTTAATCATAAATACAAAACTTTGAACAGCCCATTTACTATCAATGAAATGAAATCAGTAATAAAAAAATAAACTCCCAATAAATGTAAGTGCAGGAACAGATGGCTTCACATGTGAATTCCACCACACATTTAAAGAAGAATGAGTATCTATTCTCAAAATATTTCAAAAAATAGAAGAGGAAAGAAAGATTCTGAGGCCACCATCACCTGATACCAAAACCAGACAAAGACACTACAGAAAAAGAGAACTACTGGCCAATATCTCTGATAAACATAGATGCAGAGACATAGACAGAGGGAGAAGCAGGCTCCTCATAGGAAATCTGATGTGGGACTTGATCCCCGGCCTGGGATCACTCCCTGAGCCAAAGGCAGACACTCAACAGCTGAGCCACCCAGGCATCCCCAGTCTGTCCAATCTTAAATAGCTTTCCTGGAAGTTCCTCCTAATAAGGTCCACATTGATCTCATTAACGACCCCTAGCTAAACTGGAAGCTAAGAAATCAAGTTTTTGAGAAGCACATGACCATCCAGGAAAAATCTCTATAACTAAGGAGGAATGGGAAAGTGGATATCGGGTAGACAATCAGTAGTCTTTGTCACTGATTTTTTCCTGTATACTGAATTAAGAATCTATCCCTGAATAAGATAGGATTCCACTGTGACTATTTTCAGAGGAAATGGTCTAAATTCTTATTCATTGCTATTTTGGTCATATTCATTCCAATTATATTAGCATGTTTGAAAAACAATGTATAGTGGTGCCTGGCTAGCTCAATCCATACAGCCTGAGACTCTTTTTTTTTTAATGATTTTATTTATTTATTTGAGAGAGAGTGAGAGCCAGAGAGATCACAGAGTGAGAGGTAGAGGGAGAAGCAGACTCAGTGCTGAGCAAAGAGCCTGATGTGGGGCTTGATCCCAGGACCCTGAGAGCATGACCTGAGTGGAAGGCAGATGCTTAACCAACTGGGCCACCCAGGTGCCCCTAGCCTGAGGCTCCTGATATCAAGGTTATTTAGTTTGAGCTCCACATTGGGTGTAGATATTAAAAATAAAATCTTAAAAAAGAAAAACAATGTATAAATCTGTCTACAAATTTGCCATAAACTTTCATCTAAACTACTACTACACTGCTATAAATAAATAAGCCCCTTCATTTAAATTCTTCATAAACAATATACTTTGTAACACTTAAGTATTAATAGTTGGTGCTAATGAAAACAGTCTATCCTTCTAAAGGACCACCAGCTTTATTAACAAATCTAACATCAATTTTTTTTAAAATTTTTTTTATTTTTTTTTTATTTACTCATGATAGTCACAGAGAGAGAGAAGCAGAGACACAGGCAGAGGGAGAAGCAGGCTCCATGCACCGGGAGCCCGATGTGGGATTCGATCCCGGGTCTCCAGGATCGCGCCCCGGGCCAAAGACAGGCGCCAAACCGCTGCGCCACCCAGGGATCCCTAACATCAATTTTTATACCAATAATCCACATTTAAAAGATCTTGCAAATAAGTCATGTACAGTGAGAATCATCACGTTTCCTAAACGCTCTGGAGGGTGATCAAAGACACATTACTGTGTGTGGGTCTGGTCTGGCACAGGTATGTATTGGATGCTACACCTCTCCCCTTTAATGTATCAGCAAACAATCATATCCAGTTTGTCGGTTTCCAGAGTCCTTGTTTCCCCTCTGGGCCACCATTTGAAAGGCATAGAAGGGTGTAGTGTAAAAAAAAAGGGAAACAAATGCACTTTTTTAAAGAAGTTACAGAAAAGTGGGGACACCTGGGTGGCTTAGTGGTTGAGCGTCTGCCTTAGGCTCAGGGCATGACCCTGGGGTTCCGGGATCAAGTCCCACAGTGGGCTCCCCCGGGGGAGTCTGCTTCTCCCTCTGCCTATGTCTCTGCCTTCTCTCTGTGTCTCTCATAAATAATAATAAATAAATAAATAAATAAATAAATAAATAAATAAATAAATCTTTTAAAAAAAGAAGCTACAGAAAAGATCAGGTAAGGAAAGAGTATGAAATAAGGAGATAAAATGTAATTATAGAGCTATATATATATGCTATTTACTAACGATTTGCTTTATGATCAAGAGTTTATTTATGGCAAAACTCCACTGTGCTCTATAGAAGGCCTGCTGGCTCCCTAATCCTCAGCTTTTCCAAGTGTGAGAGCCAGTTCTAGGAACAGAAAGTGTCTCAGTCAGCTCGAGCTGCTATAACAGAATACAACATTTCATTGTACCTTCACATGATGGAGAGTAAAGACAGGAAGGAAGCTTTTCTCATGTTCTTATAAGGGGAGTTGGTACATTCATGAGGGCTCTACCCCCATGACCTCATTAGCCCCCAAAGGCCCCACCTCTTAATATCGTCACATTACGGAGGTGAGGATTTCAATCTATGAATTGGGGGTAGGATGGGGAAGAAGCATTCAGTCCATAATAGAAGGGCTGCCAACTCTTCCATCACATTTTCCCCCACTAGCCTCCAAAGCCAGGTCCAGGAATTAGAGTGATGAATGTCACTGCAGTTCATCACTTGGCTCCCACTTCCAGACTCAGAATTACCAGCTTCCATAAATGGCTGTACACACTATGTGCTTGCACTACACAGTGATACAACTCACTATTGTCAAGAGGAAAGAAAGAAAACATGTTGTTTGCTTTCATGTGTTTGTGCCTTTGATCATAGGATTTCCTTAGCCTGAAATATCGTTTCCTGCACCTTCTTTATCAAATCTTAATTCATTTTTCAAGGCCCAGGTCAAGGGCTAACTCTTCTGTGAAGCTATCCCTAATCTCCTTAGGCAGAACTAATTTAACCGTCCTCCATACTTTCAAGACTCTTTAGTTAGTATTGGTAATTCTGCCTAGCACGCAGTTCATTCTGCCTCGTATTAAGCAAAGCATATTGACCTGTTTGTCTCTGTCACAAGACTGTGAGCAACTTATGGTCTGGGAGCTGATGTGAGCTCATCTTTGCTCATGATATGAAATTTCCTGGTCCCTGTGGCTCCTCAACTCTTCATTTTCAAAGCGGTTGTCATCCCATCGTATTACTTGGGGAAAAGATAAACACTCATTCTTTTTTTTATTCCCCATTGATGAAGCATGCATTGGACCAGAGCCACTAAGTTCTCTCAAGCAGAGAAGGCGACACTCTGCAGGATCCCGGGCTGGGCAGATAGCGGTGGGATAGAGGCCACCTTGCAGCAGCACTTGAAGGATACAATGAAGAATCCACCCATTGTTGGAGTCCTGTGCACAGATTCACAAGGACTTAATCTGGGCTGTCGTGGGATCCTGTCTGATGAGCATGCTGGGGTGATATCTGTTCTAGCCCAGCAAGCAGCTAAGCTGACCCCAGACCCCACTGATATTCCAGTGGTGTGTCTAGAATCAGATAACAGGAATATTATGATCCAAAAACATGACAGCATCACAGTGGCCATGCACAAAATGGCCTCTTAATGTCTTATCAGTCTCCAGCAACCTGCCATAGGGGCTCCATCCTACCTATGTTAATTATCTTGTAGAACGAATAAAGTTCCAGTAGTTAGGCCATTTATTTAGTGTGCATTGGGCACTTTTCTATTAATTTTAGAGTAAGCTGCTTTTTCACACTCAATGGACTGACTTATCAGAATATTAGTAAGAAAGGATCATGTTTTGAAGCAGCACGTCCAGATCACTTTGTACATAGAATTTTCTTATGTTCAATAAATCTGATCAGAGGAAAAAAAGTTCTCTCAAGACATAATCTGCTATGAACTAGTATTATACTTAACAAAGGACTATCTTGTGCTCCATCCAGTGGAGTGTTTGTATGGCAAGCACGGTAAATCCACCTTAAGATGCACCCTTCAAACATGAGCCAGTCGCCACTAAAATCTATGTCTGTGTCTATTACCTATTCCTCGACATCTGTTCTTTCCTCATGGAAAAGAATTTTTAAGAAATGTACAAAGCATAACTTTCCCTATCTTATCAGCCAGCTTCACAATCGATTGAAGTCTAGCCTCAATCCCAGAGGTGTAGTTAGTTGAGTAGCCACATATTTCCAACACACAGATGTCGGGAGGAGCACTATGCTGATCTGGCTCTTATTCTAGTCTAGTGGGACACTCAAGGGAGGAGTCATCTATCCACTCATCAGTTGGCTTTTCTGCTTTCATTATTGCAGACACATTCATGCAAATACCAAACCTTTAACGTCAGCACTTTGAATCACAGTTTAATCTATAGTCTGGACTCAGTTTGAACTCTGAGAACATAACATTTCAAAATGAATATCAGGGTTTTTGTCACTGCAGTCCTCTTGGCTGGATAGGGCAAGAGATTGGCCAGGGAGGTGCAGTAATAAGACAAATGCTCAGAAGTCTCCCTGCATCTTCAGCCAGGCTACCAGACCAACCTCTGAATCCCCAAAGTGATTTGCACTCAGTGACACTGTGTTCTGAGAACAAAAACTCTGTAAACATGGCATAATGAGAAAGAGCAGGGGATTTGAAATTAGATAAACCTGGGCTTATATCCTGGCTCCATCCATACGAACTATGTGATTTTGGGATAAATCACTTAAATTTCTTGAAGTAAATACTCTTTTTTAAGCAGTAAACTGAAGTTAATGCCTACTGCATAGGATTAGTGGAATGCATAACTGAGATAGTGTAGGGCCCAGCACCCAGAAAGCATTCATTTAATAATGCCCACAATCTGTGATTGTGAGTTGTCAACAAAAGCTGGAGGGTGAAAAAAAAAAAAAAGCTGGAGGGTAACGGGCAGTTGGTGCACAGTACTTTTGGTGCACAGTACTTTTGGATTTTTTTCATGTATTCACAGCTCATGTTTTTCTCACAATAACTGTGGAATACTAAATACTCAATAGGACCTATCAGCTTCAATCTGAAATCTGAAATTTCCTTTAGTTCCCGTTTACAGCCTGGCTAAATTGCAAGGCCTCAAGGACAACTAAACTTTTAGGCAGCATTTTCAAAGGGTCTGAAAGCAGCTTTTGATAAAGATGAAAAAATGATAAAGATACTAGACTTTAGAAGATGGCTAACACCAGAGGTTAGGGGATATAAGCATGGCCTACATCAAGACTCTTGGAAAAAATAATATGTAATTACTAAACACTAACTATGCATCAGGCACTGCTTGAAGGCCTTTGCATGCAGGGTTTCATGTAATGCTTGCAAGAATCATCTGAGGTCATATCATTACTATCCCTGTGTTGAAGACAGAAATACTGAAGCACAGAGAGGCTAAGTAATCTTGCAAAATTATTTATTTGTAGAGCCAGAATTTGGAGGCAGGCCAACTAGATCTTGAGCCCATAATTTCATCATTGTATCATATATGATAGCAGCTGACATTTGGTAGAGTTTTCCAAGGCCAAAATGTGCGAGATATTTTTCTAAGCACTTCACATGAATTCCCTCATAACAATCCAACAACCCTTGATCACCAGTGCCATCATTAACCCCATTTGACCAATCAAGAAACTGTGGTTCAGGGTGCCTGAGTCGCTCAGTTGGTTAAGTCTGCCTTCAGCTCAGGTCATGATCTTGGGGTCCTATGATCCAGCACCGAGTTGGGGGGTCTCTGCTCAGTGAGGAGCCTGCTTCTCCCTCTCCCTCTGCCCCTCCTCCTGCTCCTTCTCTCTCTCTCTCAAATAAATAAATAAATAAGAATTTAAAAAATTATGCTTCAGAGAGTTATTTGCCCAAGGCCACATAGCAAATAAATTATAAATAAGCCAAGATTCGAACCTAAGCACTTTGGTTCTGTGGCCTGTGCTCTTGGCAGCTGTCTTACATTGCCTGCCAGGTAGAACAGGTACCATTAACCACATCTAACAGATGAAAAAGCTAAGGCCTCATAGCCACTCAGCAGGAACGGGACCTCAATTTAGGGTCCTTCAATCTTGGCTTCTACCAGGCCACCTACCACTTTCCACGGAGACCCCCCTATGGCTTGGGACTGAGTCTGCCAAGCTTTCCCCAGTTCCTGCCTCTGTTCCTGCCTCTGTCAAATAGGTAGCTCAAAGGCAGCTTCTCAGGCTTTGGTTATGCCACAAAGGTTTGGTGGATTAGCTGCTGTTGTTTTGTGGTATTCTCAAGCTAAGAAGTCCCGAAGACCTGATCTAAGAAGACCATAAAGAATAAATAAGACTAGAATATTCCCTCCTAATCTTCTCCCTCTCCCCCTTCAGGCCTTACAGGAACTACATTGGCAATTATCACAAGAAAACCAATCATTCAGCCGGTGCTATCTAACAAATTGCCTTGAAACTATTTTAGTAGTGACAGATGAGCACAAGGTCCTGGAAGACACATGTTCTTGCTTTCTTAATTGCTGCCTGACTGAAAACATGAGGCAAACAATATTGAGAATCTTATCTCAGAAATGCACTACCTCAGATGGCAGGAGATGCTGTACATGTACCTATTAAATGGGCCTACTGAAACCTTGTTTGCTCAATATTAATTAAGAGATGCTAATACAACCCAGCATCTGCAAATGAGCCAAGAAGACATCTGTGGATTGCTGGGACAAGTACTTCATATTTTTTAACCCTTTCAATAGCTTAAGTAGCTCAAGGTACTTTTATAAACGCTGGAATTTAGCTTTCTAATACCACTAGGATATAAGAAAGAGGTGAAAGTTTAGTTCTTTCTATTTGATAGGAAAAAGAGAGAGAGAGAGAGATACTAAACAAGACAGATCTCCAGACTTGTAATCTTGTAATTCACTGTTATGGTTTTATTTATTTATTTATTTATTTATTTATTTATTTATTTATTTATGTGTGTGTGTGTGTGTGTGTGTGTTTAAACTAGAAGTGCTACCCTAGCAACACTCATTCTAGGCAAAAATATTGGGGGGGGGGCGATGTGATTTGTTTTTTGTGACCTTCTGCATTTTCCTTTATCCACTCAGCAATCTTCATGCCCTATCTGTGATTCTCCCTTCTCCTACTCAAATAGCCTAATGCTTAAAGTCTTTTATTATGGCTCCTGATATGGACCAGAACTATACCCCATGACTTGCTCTCCACATTCCTCACTAAAGAATTTACCTGGACCCCCTTCCAATAGGGTTTCCTACAAAGTGCCATTTAAAAAAGCAATCAGATGACCTGGAAGTCCCAGTTCTGGGAAAGTATGTGACAGAACAGTAAGAATAGATGTGGGGTGGTGTGAGCAACTGTCCCAGCTAGCCAGGACTGAAATTTCCTAGGATGTGGGACTTTCAGGGCTAAACCCAGAAAAATCCCAGGTAAATCGAAAGTTAGTGATCCAAGGAATATTGATTATAGTAAGCAAAAAACTGGGGTTAAAAAACATAAATGTTCATCAATAGGATAATAGTTGAGTAAAGTATGGGACATTATCTTGTAGAATATTCCCCAGCTATTAAAAAGAAGGAGGTAAATCTGTATGTATTCAATAGAAAGCATTACTGCAAGGAATTATTAAATTAAGAATCAAAGTATGCACTAATATGTCTCATGAGGTACCATTTTTATGAAAGTTTAAGAAAAAGACCCCTAAAGTAGAAAAGTGACATGACCAGATTTGCATATTACATCTAATCCTTAAAATGAAGAGAAAACTACTTGATATTTTAAAAATTCAGCTTTGTGGGGTGCCTGGGTGGCTCAGTCAGTTAAGCATCTGCCTTCAGCTCAGGTCATGATACCAGGATCCTCGGATCGAACCCCACATCCTACATCGGGCTCCCTGCTCAGCGGGGAGCCTGGTCCTCCTCTTTCTGCCCTTTCCCCCTGCTCATGCACTCTCTCTCTTTCTCTCTCAAATAGATATATAAAATCTTTTTAAAAATTCAGTTTTTTACTGGATCACACCAGGATGATCCATACATTTGAAGAGCTTGTTGATAGCCATTACCACCTCAGGTCTAGGAATTTGGAAAAATGTATCTGACCACATGAAAGAATAGAGCAATCTGGAAGGATGTAGAATTATAGGGTCCTATTATACCAGAACACACGAGTGTTCAAAGAGAAATGAATAGAATAAAAAGAATAACAGAATGAAAGCCAGCAGGCATTGCTTTCAGTTTCTTTAAGCCTAAAAAGAAAAGCCTAATCCAATTGCTGGTGATGGAAGGTGAAAGAAAGAGTGAAACCATTTGAGATAGTGCTGAGCTGGTAAATAGAAATTTTAAGTAAGTCATGGTGTAGTAGAGCTGTTCAAATTTGATAATGGTGTAGATGTCTGAAATGAACTAGTTCACTGTATAATGTATATGAAAATAAATGTGATTAGATGGTGTTCTAGTAAGTGGACTACAGCACTGCATAAATTGTGCTTTGTGAGTAAAATATGTTATAGAGGAATTCAAGACTTTGGGGAAGTTGTCAATGTCTCAGGACATATTTCCCTTGAATGGCAAAGGTCATCAATGTACAAAAGTAAAGAAGAGTAGAAATTAGCTACACC